TTTTTTTTTTTCAGTACTAGGGATTGAACTCAGGACCCTGCACTTGCCAGGCAAGTGCTTATTCTACTGAGCTATCTCCTCAGCCCTGATTATATTTTTAAATATGAAAATATTTCACAAAACAATTGAAAATACAAACCTCCAAATGGAAAAAAAAAAAAAAAAATGGACCAAGAATATGAACTAGATATCCAAAAAGAAAAATCATGGAACATAATATAATGGAAAAATTTTGTAAACATTTCATCTAAACATGAATGTTTTCAATTTTATCTTTAAACAAAATATTTCTAATGTCACCAATTAAAACAATGCAGATTAAAACAAGAAGATAGCACTGTTTGTCTACTAAATTGGCAACACGTTTGTAAATTAAAATAGACTCAGTGGTAGTAAACGAAGAATGCTTAGCCACTGCTGCTGGGGTGTGTTAATCACACCTCTAGGTGGCAATTTGGCTTAAAAGTAGTTTTGAGACACCAAAAATATTCAGTTTTTGAGTCATAATTATACAGCTAGGAAGTTCCTGAACAACTCTCCAATGGTACACGTGCCCAAAACGTAGAAAACAAGTACATATCAGAAACATCGAAAATGCTGAAATTGTAACCATTGGGTGCAGCACACTTGTAGAAAGTCTTTAAGAGTTATTTTTGAAAAAAATAGTTAATGGTTTAGGAAGCATGTATATTTTTTAAAATAAAACATATAAAGTCAAAATTTAAAAAAAAGGAAATAACAGACTTGAACACATTTTCTTGGGTAGGGTGATCAAAATGACTTTTTTCTTCCTTGTTATTTACTATTTTTAAAAATCTCTGCAACAAACAGAAAACATGACTTTTAAAAACATATGCATATAACTTTGTGGCACCTGTTTAAAAGCTTTGGCTTTGTTAAGTTCTTTCTCTGAGCTGTCGATAAAAAGATTCAGTTCATTTACTTTAGTCATAAGGGACTGCTTTTCATCACAATTTTTACTATTTGACTTCTTGATAAAGTAAAGATCATTCTGTAGAAAGGAAAAAAGCACATAAAATATAATTAATAAAATTATTAAATGGTAATATTTTAATTATATAATAACAGCTAATTTAAGCACATACTATAATAAACATACCGTTTTAATTATATAGCTTTAATATTTATAATCATCAAGTATTTTAATCTTTCATCATGCTAAGTATCTAATATAATACACATAGATATTTACAGAGAAACTTTATTTTATCATCTACTAATGTTTTGGGTTTAGCCTGCATTCATTAATTCCAGGAAATATGGCATGGGGCTTCCTTTCGACCTAAATCACAAGGTGCTCACCATTGATGAGGTGGGCACATACATTTTATTTTGCTCTTGGGTCCACCACTCCCTTCCTGGAGTTCACTGTTTAATTCTATTTGAGTCCTAGATGTAAAACTACAGAGGAAGCACAGGCAGGCCCCTGGCTAGCACAAACACCATGCCCACGCGGCCTTCGTGAATCTCAGCCGAGGGAGGCTCCCGGGCACCCTCCTCTTCCTCAGCAGCCCTCACCGCCCTGAGTTGTCCTGAGAACTGGGGACAAGGTCTTGCACAGCTGTGCTCAGCACAGCAAAGTGCCATGTGCGTGCCGGCTGCGATGGCAGAATTACAGGTTTCTCGAGGGAAGCGAGTAGGTAACGTCAAATCCCCCCAGATGGACAAATAAGGCTGGTACACCAGATACCAGTTCTCTAGTGTTCTAGTAATTTGCTTGCCTCTTCCCACTCAAAACGCAGAATAAGGTTTGCGCTCTTGCCCCCTTTTGCTTCCCAAGTTAAGACCCCTTTCCAGTCCACCATACACACACGGCCACTCCCCGGACCCATTTCTCTGCCTTTCTCCTCAGCATATTTTGCTGAGGTATCAGGACATAAGACTGCAGCCAGTCGGAAGTTATTTGCACATCGCTTAGTATTAATCAATTAGGGGGTCCTGTTTCTTTCCTCAACCCCTGAATGTAATTCATAAGTCAATGAATAATATAAGTTGTGTGTTTAAACAGTGTTTTCTAAACTTCTTTAGATTTTTGGAGCTTTTCTACTAAATCACATCCAACATGTATATTTTGACACTTATAACCCTTCTCTCAATTCTGTAAATTAAAAGAATAGCTATTGCACAGTTCTAGGGATTGTAAAATTGATGTTGAATATTCTTAATAATGAAAATAAACACTGGCTTTGTACGTTGTCAAGAATGTAAGAAGAGAAATGAAGGGCTGGCCAGATAGCTCAGTGGATGAAAGTGCCTGCTTAAGGCAGATGCAGGGACAGAGGTTCGATCCCCAGTGTGCCGTGCTGGCCCCGGACCCAGGGCATGCTGAGACAGAGATTGAGACTGGGCGTGGTGGCGTGTGCCTGTAAAGCCTGAAAACAGGAGAATCACCACGAGTCCAATCTGTGTAGTGAGACCCTGTACTAAATACATTTTTATAAAAAAGAGAGAGAAATAAAATTGGCATAAAGGTGTAATTTCATGAAATTACATGAATTACATTTAGAACGAAAGAGTTAAAATATATTATTTCAATTTACAGAAGTCAGTCTTCAGTGTGTAAGTTAAGTATTGGATGGTCTTGGAAGGGCAGAAAAGGTGCCTACAGTCGCATGCTGCTGTGGAGAGTCAACCTTCAAGGGGTGAACTAGGTTTAATATTTTTCAAATTCACTTCAATTTCTATTACTTTATCTCTCTAGTAAAACCAGAGTAGAGATAGGTATAAGTACTAGCAATCTATATGACAAAGAAGGTAACCAGCATGGTTTAAAAAGAAAAAAAAAAAAAGTAAGCTTCCCCATAGCAAAACAGACATGATGCAGGTATGTTCAGATTTAAAAAAAAAAAAAAAAAAAAAAATCCCTGTTCTGTCCTTCTATAGTATCAATTCTTCTCATGTTCTAAATCAAAAAAGTACCACTAATGAGTACCTACTAAAAGCACTGTGCTAACATATGCACTGCTTCTCGTCCCCAAATGCTCTGAAATAACATTAAATCTTTACCATACAACATGAGCAAAAGTTTAAATACACAGCAGTAGTGGTATAATCTTGAATTTCAAAACAAGTTCTGTTTGATCCCAAAGCTTGTGTTCTTTTCTAGTAAGCCAGAGAAGCAAGTTTTTAAAAAAAAAAATATTCATATTATAAACTGCTTCAAACCAAAATTTTGACATGTCAACTTTAAAAACTGACCAGGTCCCTTTCATTTTTTGCAGCTAAGATTGAGGAAAATTCTACTCATAACCACTAGAGGGCACTCACCCCTAGTCTTTCCTGCCATTGGCACCCTTTGAAGCCCTCCCTAGTTTCCACCTGTCCTGGTCCTGGCCCTCATTCCCTAAATCATATTCCTAGTTAAACCTTAACATGGGTTTTCCATTACAATAAACATAATAATATTCCTAAAGACAGAAAGCACCATCACCTTTCTAACTGAAAGTTACTGGAAATAGTCCAAGCCATTAGTGGAATAACAACAATAATAGCTCATGAAATAAGGGATAATCACGATATTCAGCGTGGTGGAAACTGTTCTTAAAAAATCACAACCTCTTTTAAGAATATTTTGAAGTCAAGGGGCCGGGGAGATGGCTCAGTGGAATAAGCGCTTCTCTGGCAAGTGCAAGGGCCTGAGTTCAATCCCCAGTTCCGCAAAAAAAAAAAAAAAAAAAAAAGAATATTTTGAAGTCAAATGGATCAGGCATCAGAGCTTACCTCTCCTCTCCATGTGCTAGCTTTGTAACTGGACAAATTCCTTAATCTATAAAACAGATGATAAATAGTATCTCTTTCACAAGAAATTTATAAAAATTAAATAAAATAAACAGTAGAGGCATGGAATGCAGTGTTGATCATAAACACTTAGTCAGCGGTAACCTTATATCCAATACTCCCTACAGACTGCCCTGAGCAAAGTAACCTTAGGACTATGCTGATGTATAAGAGAATAGGGAATAGTGACTCAGTTCTGAAAACATAAAAAGAAAAAAAGTATTTTGGCTCTGTTACATGAAGTTTCTTGATCTGTGTTTCCAAAAGGTCAAATGTAGACTTTTTCTCTTCCAGTGACTTCTTCAGTTCGGCAATTTTTGCTTCCAGAGCTTGCTTTTCTTCTGAATTAATTTCTCCTTTTAACCGTGACATTCTTCGTTCTATTTGTTGAACATAAAAATCCTGTGGCAGTTTTTAAAACAGAGTCAGGAAGGAGGTGCAAAGAATTTAAAAGTACAACTACAAATGTAAAAATAGCAAATGTTTTCTTTTTTGCATCTTTTAGAAAATGTACCTTCAAAAATCCATACCCATGAAAATCTAGCAGATTTACTAAGGTTCTGTTATGATAAACATCCACTGATTGGTTATATTTTCAGATTATTTCTGTCTCACTATCATGCACACTGATTGTTGAAGAACAATTTGTTATTGCTCCCCTTAGAGTAAGAATTTAATTGTGAATTAATGACCGTCAGTAACAGAACCTTAGTAAGTCTGCTAATTTACATGGATGTAGATTTTGGAGGATGCATTTTCTAAAAGGTGCCAAAAAGTCACAAATAGCTATGAAAGGCTCATAATGAATTGTTTTTAAAATTCAACATTTGAGTACTGGCCAGATAGCTCAGTGGACTAAAGTGCCCGCTTTGGAAGAGTACAGGGGCAGGGATTCAATCCCCAGTGTGCAGTGCTGGCCCCACCCCCAGAGCGTGCTGAGAGGGCGACTGAGACTGGGCGTGGTGACACGCGCCTGTAATCCCAGCACTTGGGAGGCTGAAAACAGGAGAATCACTATGAGTCCGATCTACGTAGTAAGACCCTGTATACCCTGTCCTAAATTTAAAAAATAAAATAAAATTCAACATTTGCATTTTGAGAAGCTAAGAATATATTAGATGAGGGAAATTT